GTGAGGAATAATCTAAGCATTATTATGAAGAAAAAGTAATCATCACATTGACAAGGTGTTTCTTAAACTGTTTAAAAATATACATGTATGTCTTCTCTTCCAATCTGGATGCCTTTTATTTCTTCTTCTTGACTGATCGCTGTGGCTAGCACTTCCAGTACTATATCCTTATTCGCAGATGACATGATATTGTACATAGAAAATCCCAAAGACTCCATCAAAAAACTACTAGACTTCATAAATGAATTTCGGAATGTAGCAGGATAAAAATTAACATCCATAGTATATGGCTTTTCTGTACACCAATAATGAAATCACAGAAAGAGAAACTAAAAAAGCAATCCCATTTACCAGTGCAACTAAAAAATTATGATACCTAGAAATAAATTTCACCAAGGAGATAACCTGTACTTATAAAATTTCAGGTTGCTGAAAAAGGAGATAGAGGAAGAAAGACATAAACAAATGAAAGAACATACCATGTTCACAGATTGGTAGAATCAACATCATTAAAATGTCCATACTACCCAAAGCAATTTACACATTCAGTGAAATCCCCATTAAAATACCAACAGTATATTTCAACTCTCCAGAACAACTCTCCAAAAATTCATATGGAATTTAAAAAAAAAAAAAAGAACCTGAATAGCTGCAGCAATCTTGAGAAAGAAGAACAAAGTTGGAGGGATCACAATAGAAGATATCACGATATACTACAAAACCACAGTTCTCAAAACTGCCTGCTACTGTAACAAGAACAGATTATAGACTACTGGAACAGAACAGAGAACCCAGAAATCAAACCAAGCCATATGCTCAATTAATATTTGACAAAGGAAGCAAGAGCATACAATAGAGTTAAGACAGTCTCTTCTATAAATGGAGCTGGGAAAATTGGTCAGATACATGTAAAAATATGAAACTAGACAACCAAATTACACCATACAAAAAAATAAACTCAAAATAGTCAAAGGACTTAAATGTAAGTAGGTAAACCATAAAAATCTTAGAAGGCTCCACAGGCAGCAAAATAGCAGACATTTGTCATAGCAATATCTTTATCAACACAGCTCCTAGGACAACAGAAAGTAAGGAGAAAATAAACAAACGGGACTACATCAAAATAAAAAGCTTCTGCACAGTAAAAGAAACCATCAACAAAACAACAAGAACATTCACTCCAATTCTAAATGACTCACTAGATCAGATGGCCTTAATTGACATCTTCAGAACATTTCACCACAAGGCCAAGGAATATATATTCTTCTCAAGTGCACATGGGACATTTTCAAAAATAGACCATATATTGGGTCACAAACAAAGTCTCCCCAAATTCAAGAAGTTTGAAATCATAAAAAGCATCTTCACAATCAGATCGCAATTGCATAATATTAGAACTAAACTACAATAAAAACAACCCAAAATACTCAAACACTTGGAAGCTGAATAGCATGTTATTAAATATTGATTGGGTTACCAATGAGATCAAAGAAGAAATTAAAAACATCCTGGAAACTAATGGCAATGAAAACACAACAATCCCAAACCTTTGGGACACAATGAAAGCAGTCCTGAGAGGGAAGTTTATAGCCCTACCGGCCTACCTCATAAAAACAAGAAAAAATGGTAATAAATCACCTAACTCTACATCTCAAAGAATTAGAAAGAGAGCAACATGAACAGACCAGAGTGAGCAAAAGGAAGGAGATAATAAAGATTAGAGCAGAAATGAATGACATAGAGACAAAAAAAAAAAAAGAACCCAATACAGAAAATCAATGAAACCAAGAGCTGATACTTTGAAAGGATAAACAAGATTGATGAACCTCTAGCCAGGCTCACCAAGAAGCAAAGAGAGAGGACCCAAATAAACAAAATCAGAAATGATAGAGGCAAAATCATCTATCGTCAAACTATTCCAAAACATTCAAAAAAGGGAAGACTTCCAAGCTCTTTTTATGAGGCCAGTGCTATCCTAATGCCAATCCAGATAAAGATACTACAAAGAAAGAGAATTACAGGCCAATATCTCTCATGAACATAGATGCCAAAATCCTTAACAAAATGTTAGCAAATCGGATCCAGCAGTACATCAGATAGATCATACACCATGACCAAGTAGGTTTTATCCCAGGGATGCAAGGATGGTGCAATATCTGCAAATCAATAAACGTGATACATCACATAAACAAATTCCCCAGTCATCACTCCCCTTCTGTTTCTCAGGCTCCCCAAAACAACCTTCCCCAACAGGTTCTGCGAGTGACCCCAACTGTGTAATCCCATGCACTGAGTTCAACAATCAAACGCACAGATTTAAGAGGAAGTGTAAAAACAAGAGCCTGGGAAGCTGTGCGAACTCACAGGACTCCACCTTCCAGATCTGCACAGAGTCTCTGCGAGTGCTCTGACCCCTGGCACCAAGTAGCCGGCAGACTGGCAAAATCTGAGGCTGCCCCTTTGCATCCAGTCCAACTATGGGCTTATTTTTAGCGTTCCCTTCTGCCAGCATTCTTGTGGGAACCCTTCCTACACTCGCAGGTCATGCTGGCCCCAAGGGCCACGGACTTTGTGGGGCACAGATTCCTCTCCCACCCCCTCCGGTTCCACTCTCCAATCTGAATTGCAAACCACACCTTTGAGGGAAGTCTAACCTTTCTGTGAGGAGAAGCAGGGCTCCTCTGTGTTCATGTAGTCGCGCTGCTTGAGAGCCTTTGCTTCTGGGTTAGTAGCCAACCTCTGGATGCTGGTAATAGCCACTCAAGATGGCATGGTCTCTGTGGCTGAGCTGGCGCTCCGGGATAGGTTTCAGCCTCAATCTCTAACCTTCCCCTTTTTCTAGGAGTCCTCTGTCTTCCTGGCTGCAGACTGTCTCTCAGCTGAATCTCCTCTGCTTATTTGGGCTGTATGTTACCCATTTCAGTTGCTCGCCCTTATCTGCTCCAGGACGAGGCACCGATACATCCGTCTAAACCTCCACCATTTTTCTCAACCCCGTGGAATTTAAAACTAAAAGTTTAGGTGAATTATAAAAAAGAAAACTTCAAATCATTTTATTAGAATCTTCCATTCTTAATGAAAAGGAAATTGGTCAAGGCTAAAATGGGAAGTTGGGTTTCCAACAAGTAAAACACTATTCCTTTTTCTTTTGCTTTCCTGTTTGTAAGCATAATTACACTCAAGGTATACATGTGTATAAATAAATGACCATTAACAAAAAGATTGGCTCTTCTTTTATGTAAAAGAATAAAAACCATCTAGCCAAATGCTGGGCATGAATAGATATCACATGCATGTTTTTATGTCTTGAAAGTTTATTATGGTCTTACAATAAAAAACAGATCAACATAAGACTGTAGAAAACAACCCCCCCCGCTACCCCCCCAAAAGGATTCAAAGATTATGTGGAACTAAATTGATCTCCAAGGGGGTGGGGAATAATATATGTAGCAATTTCTATAATTATTTCTTGTCTTGGAACATTTTTATAAGCTACTCACTGGCAACAAGGTAATCCATAAGTCTGAGCTGAACTGGAACATTGGGCATGTTTTTCATGGGAGATTGAACAATTTCTGGCTTGCACCTGTAGGTGATATGTACATTACCCTTAAAGGTCTGATTAATAGAGACCATTTGTAATCACTAAAACAACCTTCTATAAATTTAAATTTTTTGCTTTGAACATCTTTGGGGACATTCAGGTATATAGAGCATGAGTTTATAATTAGTCTGACATTTCTAGACACAATTAACTTGCAGCTTTAAATACTTGATTTACATATGTAAATATCATTCCTCACTGACAATTCTTAATCTTTCTTTGGAAAATGTAATTTCATCAGAAGTCACTCTCTGGTGGTTATTCGTTTAATTCTCCTTATGACTGTACATACACACTTGTGAAATTCAGGAGATCTTTTCTTTTTAAATTTTATTTTATTTCTTAATCACTGAAAAAGTTGCTAAGCAATGGGTTTCCTGGCCTAGTAGTCTCACTATATGACTTTAAGATATAAATATAAACTTTTCAAATCTCTAAAAAATTATCAAATTAATTTTATTTTAAAGATTTCTTTTGCACATTTTCTAATCTTTTAATTTTCTCACGAAACACACACCTTCATTATTTTATGTATTAGATCTTTTAAAATATGAATATTAGCAAGTAACTTGTGAAGTTATTTTTAATATGGTAATAAAAAATTCAGATCAAACTGCATGGTTATCACTCAAATCTTTGACTATAAATTTATTTAATGCAGTAATATTTATCAGATAAATAAATGTTATTTTCTACATACAACTTTATCAACTGTCTAACATTATTTGCTGTCATATTTGCATGTACTTTTTTGTTAAATGCCAAAATATGATGGCAACATTCTGTCAGAAAAGTGAATGAGTCAGAAAAAGGGAGAGAAGAGAAATATCAAGTAAACTATAAAAATAAGAACCAATTTATATGAATGGATTGAAATATGAACTCAGTCACTGATATCCCAAAGAATTCATCTCTTTAGAGAGCTATTGTGTATAAACCATTTATTTCCTATTATTTTAGGAAAGTGTTTAAATTGAATAGATTTAATTTTAGGTCCAATCAAATGTGTAGTTGTCAAACATTTAATGCTGAAATGCATTGCCTTAAGAAATGATATTTTAGAGCTGTTTGTCTTTTAAATTCTAACTATATATATATATATATATATATTGTCCAGCTGCCATCAGAGAGATTATTGTAGCTGGAGGCATTGGTAGGATGACAACTAAAGGGCTACATCGTGTCAAACTCTCATTTAGGAATTATTGCCTTTTTTGTCTCAGGTTCCAGCTGTATTATGTCACCAAATCACATCACAGTGTAATCAAAGATGAATAAAATATTTTTCTTTACCTTAAATGCTTTTTCTGTCAATTACAATCAAAGGACATGATTTCAGGTCTGTCATTTTGTGAGGCTCTTTCCTACTGATGACTGAAGCTGTAATCTGCTAAATATAAAATGAATCAGAAATGTCTTAGAATGATTTTGCTATTAAGAAGAGGAATGTTTTCTTTTTCTCCCACAGGGAACAGAAAAGTAATTGGTCTTTAAAGAATGAAATCAAAGACTTTTTAAAAGTGAATCCTTTGGTCTTGGTTTTCTTCCTTTTACGCTTTCCTTTTCCTGCCTTGATTCTAAATCTTCAATTGCAACACTGGTTTGTTTTTCTGAGGATAATAAACATAGTACTCTAACATAAATCACATAGCTCTTTGCAAATATTTTATTAGCCTCTTGTTTTCATATGTCCAAAACTTTCTTGCCATATTACTGTCTATTATGTACTCTGTAATGTTTGCAGTAATTTTCTTATTTAACTACAACTTCTAGATGGGTTTCTGGTTTGATTACATTATTAACCATAATCAAAAACATTTTCTCATAATGAATTAGGAATGGCTGCCTTTGAACTTCTTTACATTATTTTATGATAGGTTGCTCCTCATTTACACTACAAATGCTGGCAAAAATGAAAGAGGAATCTCTGCTAGCACTGCCAGATAAAGTAACATAAAAAAAAAAGCTTTTTTTATAATGAAGAAAGGCTGAGAATGTAAATATTTGCCATTGTGAGAAGATTTAGAGAACTTCTCATGAACTTCTGCGTCTTTCCTTAATTAATTTTTCTTATTTCTATATTTGATGTCTAAGTATATGTTTGTGCAATTAATACACCGTCCTTGTGTGTCACAGCAAACATTATTCTTGGGTGCTCCTTTAGAACTATTTCTAGGAAATGTAAGATATATATGCAATGTATACAATCTTAATGTATTATCCCCAGAATTCCTCATAAACACCCCCATTACACTATATTTCTCCTTGATCTTCCATCACTATTTGTTTACCAAAGTGATAAATAAATAGTTAGCTGTGTTGCTATGCTATTTTAAGATATTTCTCTTTCTTTACAGTGGGAGAGGAAATCACAAGCCATTTGTTATCCATATTTTTCTAACATTCAGCATTTGTGTATACACACATACACACATAGAGAGAAGCAGAAATACCAGACTGAGAAAAAAGTGTGTAATCAAGTACTACAAATAATCTGGTAATAAATACAAATATTCAGTGTTATATTTATGCCAGATGTACTAATTCAAATCATTTAAAATATATATCAGAAACTGAGAAGTAAGCCCAAGTGTTTTCCAAATACTTTGACCAAGGAGAGGCTGCCCAATGCATTATAAAAGAACCTTCTGAAAAGAGACACAGACAAAATTCTGCCTCTGTCATTGGCTATGTGATCTTGCAGTTAACTTTTAAATTTCCATTTCCATGCACATGCCCCTAAAACATGATGAGCATCAGACTAGTTAACAGCCCCACTAGTTCCAAAAGCTAACACAATCATACTGCATTAGAGCCACAGAAATCTTATATGTGATCTGGGGCAAGCCCTTCTCTCATTCACAAATGAAGAAAGAAGCATGAAGATTCATGACACAAGGCAGAAGAAAGTCATTGCTAAGAAGGACTAGATAAAGGATTCTCTGCAGCAAAATGACTGTCTCAAAAACTGTAGCATCATAAGCCATTTGTTATCCGTCTAGACAACTGAACATGACTTTTTAAAAATAAATTTAAATTCATAACAATATCTGAATTTATTATTGAAAAACAAAACATTTCACAAAAGGCTATACTCTTTTGAATTACCAACACATACTGCAGTCTCCTTACTGAACTCAAGGACATATAAACAAAGACAAAATACTGTTTCAGAATAGTTTGCTTCCTTCCAAACTGTTATATATGTGTGTATGTACATATGTGCGTATGTGCATGTGTGTGTGTGTGTGTGGAGAGAGAGAGAGAGAGAGAGAGAGAGAGAGAGAGAGAGAGAGAGAGAGAGAGAGAACATCCCAAAATAGAAAAATTTACTATTTACTTTTTGGGACAGAATCTAAATATGATCTCAACTCAGGGAATCCTAACAATGGATGGAATTCTAACATTATGTATACAGCCTTATGATAAGCAGAGGACACACCACTGTGGCAGGAAACCTTTGATAATGGCATAAACAAAGGTGGTCTTTATACATGTGCACATGTTTTTCTTACTTAAATACTCTTTTAAATATGTTTTAGTACTAGGACATAAAAGAAATTATTGAAGTTCTCTGAGAACCCTATCTTTATTGATATATACTGAAAGTAATATTATCTAACACAGAGTTCTTCTGAGGATTAAATAAAATTAAACACCAAGGGCTGTTTGGAACATATTTATTTGTAATTCACTTATTAAATATTTATTGCAATTAATTATTTTCCTTTCCCATCGAAATATTGATTATTGGAAGGATAAAGAGACAGTACAAGTAACATTCAGTAGGCATTCAGAAAATTTTGAACCCAGACAGTGTGGCCCAGTGAACCATGAAACATGAGGTCACAGGATCTATTCTCAGTTGGGTTAGGGCACATGCCTGGGTTGATACTCAATCCCCAGTA